CGACAATTTGTTTTTAACAACATATCAGACAGCAAGTTCGACGGTTAGAGCTTCCAACATTCATTTGTGAGGAATTGCCTATTAATATTCCTATGACTGGTGAAGATATTGCCCAACTAGTCAATGCAAGCATGCATTGAAGCATGTTATACAGGATGTCCTGAAATATATGGCAAACGTTTCTAGCTCATATTGGGCCAAAAACCGGTTCTCATACAAATGCTCTGCCGAGGGATACTGTTGGAAATCATTTTCGTTTTACTGTTACTTGATTCTTAATACCATGCTCATAATAGAACTTCAATAAATATGTAGCTTGATCCCATATTCCAAGTGTACGCTTACTTGACACAGATGAAATCTTAGGATTTATTTTTACTGTGAGGCTGACAAATTCATGATAAGCATGATTAGAAAAATAAACCAAATGTTCAAAATGTATGCAGTACCAATTTTTCAGTCACAAATTGAGTGTGTCTACTTCACTGTTAACCAGAAGTGAACTCTCTAATGGTGGTTTGCACCGCTTTGAGTTAAAGTCAGTTATGAAGATCACTTCCGGTTAACCTAAAAACCGTAACATAAAAATTGTCGTATATAATTTGAGATTACATTCTCACTCTTCGTTGAGCTTACCTCTCCTTTGAAGTACACATCATGAATACATGGGTTGAGTTGTTACTGTAAGTTAATGCGATGGTTTTGAGGTTATTCTCAGATTATATTTACGCCTTGCCTTGGCTGGAAGCAGTTCAGTTGACTGTAAGACCTTTAAGGAGTACGGTTTCTACTAGAACGGTAGATTGCTTTTACTAGAGGACCATCTTTGAGCTAGGCAGGGAATCATAGTTAAGCCGGAATATGAGATTGAACTTATAGCTCTCGTAGTGGCAATAGGACGGCTTGGCAGAGTCGACGCTTAGGTAACTAGAGTTACGAAACCATGTAGAAAGCGTGCTAGCATTCTAGAAACACCTGATGCCATCTAGACCACTTCTATGTAAGTTACAGAAAACGCTGGAATATTTCCCTACGCGTCGATAGGTGAATAAATACCAGACCAGATGACGGAAGCAGTTAGGCACAGTCGATACACAGCCAAACCAGTGCACGCGAATGCGGAATTAAGAAGGAAATAAGTCCATAGTTATAAATTTGTTATAATTAGTTGCACGTGTTATAAATTAGTGTAGCAGTAGTAGTTAGACTAAACACTAAAACAGTGTTTTGTTACAAGTTGCAATAGAAATAGCTTGATGGTCTTGTTGTGTGTGAACAAATTCACTAGCACTCATAGTTAACGTCAAGGTTAGAATCGTTCAACATAGAAGTTAAGCTGCGATTGATGAATCAAGTCGAAAAAATTAAAAAATCATTGTCTGTGATTGTCAAAAAAACGTAGCTAATTATGAATTGAATGAATAATATGTCTTGGAGGTAGTTAAGATAATAGTTGAAAAAATGTCAATTTGCAGCTGTCACGTTAGGCATTTAGTTTACCCCTATGGCCTGCTTACACCTTGGGTGACTAACCACAAGACTGTGCTATCACGTGCGTTAACATCAGTCTATGCTAAAATATGTCACAATACTAGTTAATTTACACGGTTTGCCATGGGCAACCGCAGCATTACTGATCATGGTATGAACATGCGACAGTCTTTAGTGCTATTGATTTTCTGTTTTATTATGGTCTTCCGTCATCGGTATAAGAAAGCTGTATTAGTTACGAAGAATAAGAGGGGGTTATTCTTATTATATTTTCCTTATTTAGCGCTGTTGTCGGAATTTGGAAAGCTGGATAAGCTTAATAATAATTTCAAGCTATAAAAACATCTGAATTGGAATATAATAGAAATGTGGGTCTTAGATTGCAGATGAAAATAAATGCAGGAGGTAGGCATAGAGCTCTAAATAAATCGAGTTTTTCTGATTTTCATTATGTATGCAATGTGCAAGGTAGCCCATGGTTTTGTGGTCACTTTTCCTGCGGTTGTATGATTCTAAGCCGCGGTTTGGAGGCAAATAAAACAGAAACTTTTTATGGAGGAATTCAATAAAGTTTTGATATTTTAAAGTAAGCTTCATGTGAAAATTGAAAAACTAAGCAACCTGTCATGATTTTCAGTAGTCAGTACTTTCAAATTACCACGGTTCCCTTTAGTGGTCTTAAAATCCCTTTTTATGTCGACATCTGTTATTTACTGCCCCTGTCAAAAATAACAAAACGGAAGGCTAAACGATTCGTTACTTTTGTAGCTCTAAAAGCTATGTATGGTGATTAGTGTAGCATTAAAGGTTCAGCTTAGCGCGCCAAGCGCCATTTGATACATTTTCAGGTTACGCTGCCATCTGATGCGACGTAACATAGTTCATAACAATTGCAGGCAACATAAAGACATGGCATTCAAGAGCTAAACTATTTCAATCTAAGCGCCAAACGTAATAATTGTTATTCATTTTGCAACACTTGACTAAACGACCAGATTTGGGTGATGATAGTAAGCAAACTTCCAACGTCTTGCTTGAAATGTGACCAACTTTCATTTATTTATCTGTTGGTTACGTAATGCAATTTGCACCATAGGCGGGAACGCTTGCTTATATAGAACACCTTTCAAAATACTTTAATACTGCAACTTACTCGTGAACTGCTTGTTTCCGGTTTTCATATCCATTCTCTTTAGCGTGACAAAATAAATGTATGATTTTAGGAGCGAGCTTAGTCAGTAGTACACAGCCGCCGTCTTAAAATCTAGTGTTTATGCCTCAATTTTATCATCAGGAATTTCAGCTTGCCAACTTGACTCATTCAAGAAATAGGATGGAGGGTGGGGGAATCTTTCTGAGAAGCAAGAATTAGAGAAATTGAGCAGCTTAGAGATAAGCTATGCAGTATTTTTTGTTAAAACTGATTTTGAAGCTGATCCTAAATAGATCAATATTGAGGAAAAAACGAACACCCAGATTCAAGGATTACTAAGTTAACACATCGAAAGGTTGTGGCCCAATGCAAAACATGTATCAAAAAAGAAGCTACAACATTTAAAATCATCACTAAACCTTAAACCCAATGATCCAAGAAGTTCTATACGCAGCTATAGCTAGCGATGCAAGTATTGAAGAAGATATAGATGGGTTCAATGACCAGATCTTGAACTTGAGCATGAATAATAAAAATTTTCAATTCATATTCTCGATCCTTTTATGAAATGTGTAGCTACTTT